GCCTTGGATATCCAAATTCGCCAAACACTTCGGAACATTACCGTTATGAACCTTCCCACTCAATGCTGCATTCACACCAGTTGTGTGCATGAACGTGAGCTGAGCAGGAAGAGTATTTTGAGCTCTTATTCACGGTCTGATTCATGCCCCATACAATCTCAGGAAGCCTTTCATCCCAAGTCGCCTCCGACTTTGCACTTGTATCAATTGCATTCAACAAGGTCTCTCCACCTGACCATTCGCCATAGGAGTAGCAATCGCGTTTAGCACATGTTTCACCCCCTTTTCCACCAAAAAACTAGTGAACGCTTTACTAGTAAAAGCCAGACCACGGTCGGAAATAATTCGCCGTGGATATACAAAGTCCCCAAACGCTTCCCTCAGCTTTTCGATCACCTCATTAGACCGCAGTGTTCCAGTCACCTTCGCAAGTGTGAAGTTAATGAAAGCATCAACCACCATGAGCACATACTGATTGCGTCTTGTACTTTTGGGAAAGAGACAAATATAGTCAATGTGCAGCGAATAAAAGGAAATTGCCACTGTCTCAATAGGATGTAATAACCCCTCGGCAGGGCCATGACTTTCCTTGAATGGGCATGAAGTAATTGTACTGACTATGTACAGACCTAAAACCGACGTTTAAGTGACGTCAATGAACAGACGTCTAACCGACGTCATAAAACAGACGTCTGGCAGATCTGTCATGTAGCGGTCATTTGGACGTCCAAATGACCAGCTATCTGACGTCTTGTGGCCGAATCTCATGGCGTCGTTTAGACGTCCATATGACGTAGTGTGCTACCTGGGCTAAAAGCAAATCAGCGCCAGAAAGATCGCACTCGGCAATAAGAGCATTAACTTCGATGGAGACGTCATCTATGGTGATGGGTATCTTTGTCTCACCCATCGTCATACCCACGCCTCTACCAAACGCTCTCAACACTTGATGAGTGTCTGAGATCTTTAATTCACCCAAAGATTCAACGGAGCCCCGAGTCAGAATGTTACGCTTACTTCCAGTGTCAATGGACACCTTAATCTTAACCCCATTCTGAGCCACTGCGGCTTTTTTGTAGGCATTGGGCGAATCAATCAACCTCACCAATGCCGCTTCAGATGCTATTACCTTTGATTATTTTCGCCGAGGAATGTGCATCATGTCCCATCTGTTCACATAGCCAGCATAGTTTTGCCTTGGGTTTGGGACAATCTCTCCTCAAGTGATCGCCAAACTGCTGGCAGTTGTAGCAGCGAATCGACGTCGGAGTGCCAAGCCTAGCTCTGACCGCGCTCGGCCTCGCATGTACGCCACTGGGTCCCGCCTCTAACACCTCGGGGTAGTGCATTGTCCTGGGTCCTGGTACCTGTCAAGAGAAAACAAAAACCCAGAGTACAATTCGCCCACAGTCTTGCCTCCAAATGCCCTGGCATTTTCCCGAATGCCTTGGGGAAGCCCATCAATAAGGCATGAAACAGTCTGAGCGCCTACTATCCGGCACCTCTCGATCAGCCCGAGCTTCGGGTAATAATAATGAGCTATTAACTCATTACCCACCTTTTTCCGCGCCAGCATTTCCTTCAGGAGGCTCGCATAGTCGTGCTGTCTCTGAAAAGCTTTTGCCAACGCCAGTCGCCATTCGTTCCACTCCAGGTTGTAGTCGTCGAGCCTTTTAAACCACGCCCTTGCAGGACCTTGCCACTTAGCCTGCATAAAATAAGCTCGCTCATACGCTGACCAGCCATGGATTTCGCCCAGTTGGCAATCTTTGCCAGCCATCGATGGACATGACAATCCTTGCTGTCTGGGTCAAATAGCTCCAAAATTTCGGCTCTTGTTCTAGCCCCTGCGAGACCACGGCACACCATACATCGCGACGATCTATAGCTACTACACTCACTTTCAAAAGTCTTGCACCCCGCTGTATTTATTACATACGTTTAATTTATACAAAATTGTTTTATTGGTAAATAAAACATGCTTGTTTACAAGTCAAGGAACTGTTGGAATTTCAAAAAAAAATTGTTAACCCCTTTAAAATTGTGATGCTGCAAAAGTTGCACCTTGAAAGAAAGTTTATTTAGGCACAATATTCCCACTAGACTCAACTTTCTTAGAAGCACAGTTAGCAGGCAACAATTAGGCGCTATTAAGAGACTGGTCAAGTGAGCAGCAGACCTCGAAGTGGTCGTCCTCACGTTACCACGATATGAGAAGAACGCTATATGTCCCATAGAGTCCGTATCAGCGCGTAGAGAGCCCTCAGTCACCCTACTGGCACTAAGATCTCAGTTCCAGAGAACGTATATCCGTGTGATATCCAGTGCTACCATCCGCAAAAGACTTTTACAATCAGGATTGCGGTCTAGAAGGCCTTCAAGAGTTCCTTTGTTAACTCATCGCCACCGAAGGGCCCGTTTAGAATGGGCACGAAATCATCAAAACTGGCGATTGGGAGAGTGGTGAAAGATGCTCTTTACCGATGAATCGTGGTTTGGATGGTGAGCGATGATCACCGAGTAGGAGTTTGGAGAGAAGCAGGACGCCGAAATAGGCTTTATACAGCCGTTGCAGTTGCTCCATATCGCGGTGGAGCACAAATGTTTTTTTTTNGGGGGGGGGGGTATTATGTTCAATAGAAGGACCCCACTTATTCACATATCGGGCGAGGTACCTTGCAAATGTAATCTTTGATAGAATTATACCCCTATGTAATGAATTAGGGGACCGTTCATCTTTATGGATGACAATGCCAGGCCAGAGCTGTTCAAGAAGTATTAGAAAACCGAAACATTGCAAGATTAGATTGGCCGGCTTTGTCACCTGACATGAATCCCATCGAACACGTTTGGGATTATGTGTCAAGAGCGATTTTCAATTGGAATAATCCTCCAATAAATGCCCAAGAACTTATTATTGCTGCTACAGAGGAATGGGAAAATATCCCTTAGGAAGTAATCATAATTTGATTATTGGAATGGATAGACGTGTGAATGCGTTGTTAAGAAGTAGAGGCTCAAATACTGAATATTAACTATGTTGTTGAATTTTTTATTTTGAGTTGTTCGTTAGAAATTGAATTTTTTTCTTTTAAAAATGTTTGCATCCGGACTGTAATTTTCTTTTTATAACTGATAATTCGTTGAAATTAAATTCATTCTGCCGTTGTCCAAATAACTAGAGGGGTGCAAGACTTTTCAAAGCGAGTGTATTACTGCTCGGAACGAGCTCACCTGCATGCGCCACTCTAGTGCGTTCCTCGAAAATCGCTGTTTTGAACGCCTTCGCGGTTTCTTCAGCCATTAAACTCCGGATGCTTGCTGCCAAACCGCCTTGCAGGAGTTCTCGGATCAGCTTTTACTCGAATTTTTTAAAATATTGTTTTCGAGATCAGTTTTTAGCCGAGCTTCAATAGCGGAAGAACGCTTAACTGAATTGGCACATATCCACGTGCGGAAAACTATACCCATTGGTCAAGTGGAGGAAGTCATAACTCGTTTTGTGAGAAGACATTATAAAAAAAATTATTTTGTAATTTGATTAAAATTACATCGACAATTAACGATACAACATTTTTTAATTACATTTATTATTGTAATTGAAATGAAGTCTGTCCTGCCTGAATCACTACTACATGACCTCCTCCTGACTTGAAAGCTGGATACGCCCTCGCATGTTGAAGAGAAACCCGTTAGGTATTAAACATCATATTATACAAATCAACTTTTTAATGTTTTTATTATAATTTATACATACATCACAAATATAATTTATAAGTAAACTTCTGTGTAATAATAATTTTATATGAGTATTCTTAATAATTGATTCGAAAGAAATAGTTGTAGGATAATATAAGACGTGTTAGATTGTGCAAGTCAAGTGAAGTTAATAAATTCATACCATTAGCTTCGATAATAGTTAGGCCGTTAACTTCAGAAGGTGGGCAATTAATAAATGGGAGGTGCAAGTAGATACAATCAGAGATTAGTAGACTACTACTAATCTCTGATACAATGTGGAATAGCCAAATAAAATAAATTCTCTGTGTAATATTTTCACATGTGGCAAAAATTTCAAGACGCAAATTATTCAAGTTTTTTAGAAATTGATAATAGTTCTGGTTCTAAATTGTTTTAATCGAAAGTGTAGCGTAAAAGTTACTCTTTATGTGAAGAATGGGGAAACATTCCCCGCTCGATATTAATATAGCTTTACACAATTTGTAAAGCTAATAATAAACCAAATACGTATGTAATTGGACATTTGCTATAATAAGCTAAAAACTATTAAATATTTATTAACTAATTTGTTCGTTATTATAACTTCAAAATAATGTCTTTACTAAGCTATTATCATAAATTTGATGATTGACCTGATCAGACTGATGACCTGATTCAACACGGTGGAATTTTTTGTATTTGAATATAAAATAGCAAAATGTATGATTTTGAGGCTTGGATTTTGAACTTGATTTGATTCGTAATTTTATTAGATTATCAATAGCGAAATTAATATTAGTTAATAAAACATTAAGAGTCACAACTAACACTCACAGGAGATTTGATGATATTAAATTCAAATGGCCAAAATTTGATGATATTCTATTTATTCTATTAAGCTGTTCCACACTACACATTCTAAGTGAGTCTTGGCGTCATTGCTATCTTGGCATCTACGAAAGATGAAATGGAGAGAAAATGTTAATGTAGAATTTTAC